TATCAGGAATAGCGTGGCCAGCAGGACTAGGGAGGTGATAGTGCCCCTGTACTTGGCACTGGTGAGGCCGCACCTCAAGTACTGTGTTCAGTTTTGGGCCCCTCACTACAAGAAGGACACTGAGGTGCTGGAGCGTGTCCAGAGGAGGGCAACAAAGCTGGTGAAGGGTCTGGAGCACATGTCTTATCAAGGAGCTGCTGAGGGAACTGGGGTTATTTAGTCTGGAGAAGAGGAGGCTGAGGGGAGACCTTATTGCTCCCTACAACTACCTGAAAGCAGGTTGTAGCGAGGTGGGGGTCAGTCTCTTCTCCCTAGTAACAAGGGACAGGATGAGAGGAAATGGCCTCAAGCTGGGCCAGGGAAAGTTTAGGTTGGATATTAGGAAAAACTTCTTCACCGAAAGGGTAGTCAGGCATTGGAACAGGCTGCCCAGGGAAGTGGTTGAGTCTCCATCCCTGGAGGTATTTAAAAGACGGGTAGACGTGGTGCTTGAGGACATGATTTAGTGGTGGAGTTAGCAGTGCTAAGTTAACTGTTGGACTCGATGATCTTAAGGGTCTTTTCCAACTGAAATGATTCTATGATTCTAGATTGGAAGGGACTTCATACATGATTTAGCCCAGCCTCTGTGGGGTTATATTTTAAAAACTGAGGGTTATCACATTGCTTTATAGGAAGATGCTAAAAAAAAGTGGACATAAACCAGAATCCTAGTCTTCTCTAGTTGATGGTTTCTAGAACTGATACATGGATAGAGAAAGAAGGGAAGAAAAAAAAATGTATAGGAGAGTGTATATTTGTATGCACGTGTGTGTATATATATAACTATATACAGAGTATTTATATAAAGAAAACTCTTTGGCGTGGGGCAATGGTAAATTTTTCATGTATTCTGTCACACTTGAAGGTTCCCAGCCAACTACTAAATTTGCCAGAGATGCAGTACGTTAGCTTGCACAGAGAATTTGAGAACTATTACAGTCAGTCTCGGTTGTTGCCACACTAATTACATATGCTAGAACGTAATAAAGCCTGGTATTTTGGTAACTTGTCATCTATGTGTTGTAGGGCCTTGGAAAGGTTTTTGATGTGTAAGAAGAAATGGTTCCACCCATTTTAAAATTACATAGTGGGGAACTTGAAGTAGTTCTATCTGCTTTTTCTACTATTCTTTTCCATACACTTAGTTTCTACATTTTGTGTGTCAACCATTTTCTACCACACTGCTTATATTACTGAATTATACATAGGCTTAGTGTTTGAGGGATCAAATCTGAGTAAGTGCTCTCCTACATGTGATGCTGAAGTTCTAGCTGGAACTAAGGACCAAGAAGGTCAGGAGTCAGTTAGGAGCAGAAACACAGTGCTTTGGTATTGGGCATTAGGAGCTCAATGGTAGTCCCTTTGCTATTACAGAGTTCTTAAAGTGTGAAAAGCCTTTTATGCCTTAAAAACAAAAAAAATATTTTTATTAGGGAGGAGTGAAGAAATACACTTAAATTGGATTTTTGCTATAGCATACTCTTGTCTACAGATTCTAGTAAACTTCCTAAAGCAGAAATAAAGATGGCTGAACTTTATGTACTAATAACTGTCTGTACTGAAGTATTAACGTATCTATCAAATACCAAATTGATGCCAATGGGGCACATAGATGAGTTTTTCACCAGTTTGGGGACATATATGCAGTGTTACAGCTGAAAGACTGCTCATTTTCTTCATCTGACATCTGCTTTTTAAGAGTTACATATTTGAATTGGTATCGTACATGCGCGGGGAATCCACACGCAACTGCTGCAATGGGCTTTTCAGAAAGGGTAGAGGGGAAAACAAAGATGCTTGCTGGCATCTGCACTGCCCTGGCCTTGGCTGTCCCACAGCCTATGGGGCCCCCAGTCCTCCTCACGCAGTCTGTGCCTCTTCAGCAAAACACTGTTTTCAACCAGAGCTTGCTTGCTTGCCCGCCTTTCTGCTAGGGGGTTTGAGCAAAACACCACAGTCATTAGCGAGGCTACCCATTCTGTGCCACTGCTCTCTGAGAGGGGATCTGCATAAATCAAACCAGTAACAATTTTTCTTAATTTAAAAACTGGTTAAATAAATGAGAACTGATACTGGCCTTTACAGCATATTTAAATTACAGAAAGCTTTTTAAATGTACTTAAGGATGTGAGATGGATTTTTTTCTTTTAACCGCCAGGAAAAAAAATAGGTTGAAGACATACATGCATCAGCTTTACTTGTGCTTTTAATTACGGAAGTAGTTAAGTAAGGACAAAGTAACTACATGTTTTCTGTGCTTTACTCTAAAGGAGGTTGGGAAAGACTTGACTGGTTTTGGTATTGTTTTGTTTCATGTGATAAAGACAAAACTTTCTTAGAAATTTGGGGGCAGGGCCTGCAAAAACGTGATGCTTGTCATGAAACCAGGGTCTATATACTGTGAAAGAGGCAGACTTGCTACAAAAAAAAAGCTTCCTATACAATTCATGCTAGAGTAGAGGATAAGAGACACAGGATGCTGGTTGAAAGATACAAAAAAATAGTAATGGGAATTCAGAATAGTAATGTATTTTGTGTTAATCTGTGAACTGAGGAACACACTTTGAAACATGAACTTAAAAAAAAAGTGATTTATAGAAAAGAGTTATTTAGAAATGCTCAAAATATAAATTCACCTGAAGAATAACTTTGAAAAAAAAAAAAAGTAAAATGGACAAGTCTATGTCGATGTACTATTTCAATATTGAAAGAAATCTCTGTAGTAAGAATTTTTTTTTTCCTAAAAGTTGACCCATTTTAATATAGAAAAGTGCTCTCTTCCTCTTCAGCACAACAGTGAACCCAAATACTTGGCCTGTGGTGTACTGTGACTTTTCACTCAACAGTATGGTCATCCCGCTTCGGTCTTCCACTAAGCCCCCTTCCCCTGCCTAAGGGCAGTTAAAATCCCCCAAACAAATGCACAACCTTGTAAGTCAAGTAAAAGCTGAGACATTCTGAATTGTTTGGTTTTCTTATGTACTGTGAAGTGAATGGGCAGCCCACTGAGTTGAAACTATTTAGGGAATGCAAGCTATGTTCATCTTCTGGAACGAGCTTCTTGAGCTCCTTCTTCATATTGCCAGCTGCACGGCTAACATGAGTGTAGTTGCTGTGCATAGTGTGTTGAACCTCCGCAGTGTGCAGATGGAGTCTGGAAAGCCACAGATCTTTTTATTTTTATGTGTATTTATAAAGGAATGCACAATCTTACATATATTGCCGTACAGAGCGAGTTTCCTGACATTGCTTGTCAGCTTTCTGCATGAGGCTTCATTAGGTAACTTGTTTGTCTGCAGAAAACCCTTCTTGCCATGTCTTCATTGCTTAGTGATAGCCTAAGCAGTAACATCTAAGCTCTGGTAACCTTTCAGAGCTCTTGTGTGGGGGGTTTTATTTTAGCATGTATTACAATCCAGTACCCAACCTGTTTGTCCAGTGTCCCCTTAAACTGGTGAAGCTTTTTAGTCTGGAGGCTGGTCATTGCCAATGAATTCCCAGGCCAAATGTGCCTAGGGGTTAAGATGACTCTGTATGTGGAAAAAGGAAGTGATAAGGCAAGAAAAGAGACTCAGGAAAAAATCCAAGCAGAGGACTGAGTCAGCACTAGCTCTATATGAGGCTGCTGCAGGCTGTCTTAGAGGGATCTTCTGGAGTTTCTCTGAACTACATTGTCATGTGAGGCCTTGGATTGATTGGCCGTGAGTCCACAAGGATGACTTAAAACTTCAGTTCAATGCCTACTTTTCTTCTTCTATTGTTCTATTAGAAAGTGCTGCCCTGGAAGTTATTCGAAGGTGTTGCCTTTTAGTTTAATCCATGCCATCTCCTGTGCCTGAAGGTAAATCATGTCTGGATCACTGCTTGCATTACGCAAGCACATGTCCCTGGGACACGCAGATGATATAGTCTTACCAGCAAGGTTCTTTTGGTTTCTGATGCTCCTCAGGGATGTTGCATAAATGCTATGGCTAGAAATAGCTGACACAAAGTCTAGGTAACAAAGAAATTGCACCAAACCAGCTCAGTCTCTTCTAAGAGAGGGCAAATGAAGAAGTTAGCCATTTCAGACAATGTATTTTTGTTGTTGTGTGCATTTTCCTATACTTATTATGCACCATGGTAGGACTGAAACACAACACGTTTGAGGCTGACAATCTTACCAAACATTTGAGGCTGGAGGTCTAGGTTCTACAAAAAAGCACAGAGATTAAGGCATGAATAGGATTTAAAACCAGACAAGTCCAATCTTAACAAATAGCTCCCCCCAAAACAGACCAGAAAAACCTGAATGTAATTACAAAAATACCCATCCTGGATAGGAGCACTATGTGAAAGGATGGTTCAGTAATAAGATGCTTGCTAACTATGCAAAAGTGAGTATACAGAATAATATGTTAATAAGAAACTGTCATCATTACCATCTCATTATACAGACCCTCCCTCACTCAGGTGGGAGGCTGGACTATACGGACCTCTTGTTAATCCACTGTGGCTGTGTTGTGTTAGGTGAATGAAACTTGCAGCAAATTAATATTATGAGTCTTTAGAAAGTATTTTTGTTGGTTCACACAGTGCATTAAAACTTGGTGTGTGTGGCTTTTTTTAATCGTATAATTGAGCCATTCTCAGGCCTATCTGGCATCTAAGTTATTTGCTGTGTCAAATGTTTAGGCTGGGCTTATCCTTAGTCTCTGGTTTCTTCCTGCTGGACATAAGGGATGCTCTCCACTGAAGCTGATGCCACGCACAGTTCACCTTTTAAGCCAAAAATAGTATTTGCCAGTGTCCTAGGAGAATTGGCAACAAAGGTAAGCAGTTAAAGTTGATGCCGAGATGGAGTTGAAGCTGTTACCTACAGGTAGTTGCTGCTTGAGTGAAAAAGTATCTTGTTTATAGCTATGCAACTGCAGGGGAATAATAGACAGCTCTTCCTCAAGCTATTCTTATAGCTTCTCTGAATGCAGCTTTGCTGGGTGCTTAAAGTGCTTTTAAAATGCATTCTGCCAAACTTACAGCATTTGCAACCCTCCGTAACACCACTTGCTTTGTTTTCCTAATGTTTCTGTAGGGTTGGGGTTGACCCAGATCAGGATCCTCCACCTACTAATGACAGCTTTCAAGTCTTACAAGGAGTAAGTAATTACATAACTTTTCCATTAGGCTGATCTTATTTTGTAACTAAGACGATAAAGAACTACAGAAGGTATGAGCATGGGTAAAACCTTTCTCTCCTAGCTGGGAAGTCAATAATGCATTTTACTTTATAATATTCAAGTTATGCCCACTGAAAAACACTGTGGTGTAGGGTGTAATGCTGCAGCATTCAAATTTTTGTATATATATGTGCGTGTGTGTGTGTGTGTATATATATATGGCATCAATAAACGTCCCAAATCTACTAATATACTCTATTTAATAATGTGCTTTCCTCTTCCCCCACCCACCCAACATGCTTGCTTTTAACGTGCTACAGCATAAACAGTCCTCCCCAAGACTGACCCAGAGATAATCCTCTTGGCTTCTGTTCAATAATTGATACCAAATTTTGGCCCTTGGACTTGCTTAGAATCAAAGATTAAGATGCTAATCCAATCTCAGCTCCTGTATACCATACCACAAGCCAGTTGGATCTTGCCTGTGCTACCTACCACCTGTATGAGGCAAAAGGAGCACTGGAAAACTGTCATTTATATTCGGGAAACTGTTGCTGTGAATCTTGAGTGCAGCTTTCGATGCGTCAGTAACAACCCAAGAGTTGACTTTTTCCCCTGCAATATGTTATTGGCAAACAAGAGTATCGAAAGAATGTTGTTCATAGCAGAAATTTCAGTTGTCCTCATCTATAAACTGAGTGAATTCACAGGAGTGAAAGGTTGGGGGCGGGGAGAACAACCCAACATTTCCTGAGGCTAAACTGGGACTTTCCTCTGTCCAGACCTCAGTTTACACTCTCCCAGAGTACTGCCTGACACTAGTTCAATAGCACAACTGGTTGCTTACATAGCAACCTGCTAGAGGAAGTCGAATGGCAGGAAAGACGGATGACTTTGGACCCAGAGGATGCATAGGGTGCAAGTGGGTGAACTCTGCTTTGTAAACCTCAGATTGTATGGTCCTGGTGTTCAGGCTGGTCACAAATACATGCATGGGATACTTGCTGTATCAGGGATCAGCTTCCTTATTAGTGGTTTCTTCTGCCTTGCTTTTTTTTTTGGTCACAGGTTGTACAGGTAAGAGTTACTTGCTCAGGAAGCATCTCCTTCATTGCAGAAACTGCATTAGGCACCTCTGTGTTCTTTGTAGATGCCCCTGTGTCCAGCACACAAAATAGATTCTGAAATGGTGGGTTTGGGTACCAAAAAGGGTGAACTTGGTTTTCTAGCTATCTGGACACAACCACAAGGCCAGGCCTCAAAACACCTTCTACAATGAAGGCTACAGTTACTGCATAAAACCAAGGTTAGGAAGTAGTAAGATGGCTTTGGCCAGTTCAGACTGAGCTTGTCAGTATTTGAGGAATTGCTTTAACAGGAAACAGAGCATGGGTATTCTGTTCTCATTCAGTGTCTGGGTGGAAATAACTTGTTTGCTTTTTTCCCATGTAAACATAGAGCACTTACCCATTTGTTTCCTTCTTTAGCTGTGCATTGCATTCCTAATGGACTCGATTAGTCAGTTCCCTTTGGATTCCTTTTTCTTTCACCAAGCCAAGATTAGCAGCATGTCACAGTTAAAGAAAATACATCATTTGGGAGTGAAAATGTACTAAGCTTTAACTCTTGGTGGATCATGGATTTTTTGCAGATCAGAAGTACACAGGGCAATCCCAGCTTGTTCTTTTCTAGTAGTTTGGAAGATGATTCATAGAAGGCATTCTCACTTCATCTGTTTTCCTGTGTTTAACTTTGGCCTCTGGCCAAAAAAAAAAAAACCAACCCAAAACAGTAACAAAAGTAAAAACAAATGCAGCTGCAGACCAGCTGGTGTGATGACTAGCAGCACAGTTAGTAAAGGGATTATATTTAACACTGTTTGCAGTGTTAGATATATCTGAGCTTGATCTAGAACTTAGGAAATTTGCATGACCTTCCTCAATTGTTAGTTTATACGGATTCCCTGTTAAGCGTATTTTTTTTAAGTGTAGTATTTTCCATCAGGTTTGCGAGAGTTTATCGGGTACGGTAAATGCCCTTATTCTTCCAAGGAAGCAATAGGCTTAAGGAAAGAACGTCGAATAGACCTAGAGTTACAGAAGCAAGCAATGAATAGGGATCAGGCTGGATTATTCCAGTTGATTTATTTGGGCAGGAGAATGGGGATGGTACATCAATGAGGCTTATTTGTCAGTTTTGGACTTACTTCTGTATCCATTACTGCATTAACTGTGCGATAAGCTTTTAGACTCAAGGGAACTTGGTGGTAGAGGGCTCATTAAGGTAACTTGAGGGTAATGAAGAGGGCCTACTTCTCTGCAGTCATTTCTGGTCTTTCTAGGGTAAGTAACCTTCTCAGTATAAGCATGTCTCTAAAACAGTTTTCTTCTGCAGTCCAAGTACAGTATTGAAGTAATTTGGCTTTTTTGGACAGGACATTGTAACGTGAATGATTGGAATGTGTGATTTGGGTTTTTTTTTCCTGCCTGAAATAATTGAATATTTTTTTTTATCTTATTTTTAGGATGGCCCAGATTCTGAAAGAAGGAACAGGACAAAGCAGGAAAGCGCTTGGCTCTTCAGACTATGGTATAGCTTTGACCATAAGTATCCTTTTGAAAACACAGCTTAGCTTCAAGGCATGAAATGTTCACTTTTTTTCTTTCCATGTACCCATATGTAGCCTTAAGCACTTGAGAGTCACACAGGATAAAAAAAATCAAGTATTTGACAGGTTCAAGGCACAGAACTGAAGCTTGAACTTGCTGACTTGGAAGATGGACCTTTCCTTTCTCTAATGCATGGTATGTCACACTTGCTGGAGGACAGAAACCAGTCAGTTCTAGGAGCTGAAGTTCCTTCCTGAACAACAAGACAGCCAATTAACTATTTCAGATCCTCTGATTTGTTCCATTAATCTGTTCTCATCTTCACTGATGCTCATGGCAAAAACTAGTTTTCCAGTTCATTGTATGTGTGTAAGCCTCCACTCATTGCTCTGACGAGCCATCTGCTTTTGTGATGAAGTCCTCTTTGGAAACTCATTGCTGATACGGGAAGTTCTGGAACTGAAAGCTACATGTGATCCAGCTTATTTCCTTCAGTATATCCACAACTTCCTATGGGTGTTAAAGCAGAGAGTGTCCTTGTGTGTATATAGTACTGTACAACCTTTCTGAAGCTGCTATTATACTATTTAGATAGCCTTGTTTAAGCTTCTGAGCAAGTTTTGTGTAGCTGTCCTATCTTTCATGCTTGTGCTTTTTTTAGTCTACTTAGCATATTCTTAATCAGTATATCATACAGGTACCCCTCCTTAACAGCTTACACTCACTTAGTGGAAAATGGCAAAGATGATGTGGTGGCCATGGCAAGTTACTTATACCTAGAAATTCAAAGAAGTTTTGGTTCTTGATTTGTAGTAATTTCTGGGGCAGTTAAATATATGTAAATGTCTGTGACAGGGCCTTAATCTTGTTGCAGCTTGCATCTGAGAAGTGAGTCTTTTCACTGGGGTCTTGGCCATTGGTTGATGAGAGATTGCTGGCCTGGTTGGAGCACAGCAGTTTTCTTCCATGCCTTGTGCATCAAGATTTCCCACCCAGGGAAACCCAGGTATAGTGTTGAAAGCATTCAGATCCTACAGCACTTGTCTGTTCAGGATAAAGTCTGTTTGTGACTGATACTTTCAGATGCAGTAGTATTGGGTCAAAGCCCAGCAGGGAGTGTATGTGCTAGTTTAAATATTCATAAATGTAAGTGATTTCAAGTTAACACTTTGATTTGTAGTGGCTGGTGTCAAAGTGTATTGAGGTCAATTTTTGTTATTTAAAAAAACCAAAAAAACAACTTATGTGATAAGAGCACAGAAGGGTCTGGCTGTGGCTGACTGCTGCTTTTTTGTCTTTTTAAGAAGGAAGCAGAACTATCCTCTTCCCCTACCCTTACAAGAGGTATGTGCCCAATGAAAAATGGAGTAGTTGGCAATGCTGACTTCCCCTCGGCTGATGCTAGCACAAGGGCAGTCCCCAGCAGCTGCAGCAAGGGCGGGGGGAGTGCTAGGTGAAAATTACAGCTTAATTAGCTATTTCACAGAAATGTAAAGGATGCTGGTAGTGCACTTGCTTTTTCAGTGGTGACTAGCAATCTTTAGGGAAGGTTTCCATGAAGTCTGTGCCAAGGAAACTGATGTCCAGGGGCAGAATTGACTTGCTGTATCTTAGAGGTAAAATTCTGCTCCTTCTGTTGCAAGGAGGCATTCAGATAAGCATCGGCTGGGTGGCCTTAAATTGCATGGAAGGGATGATCTTTAGAACTGCCACCCATGGCTAAATGTAAAAATATTTTTTGCTAATGCAGTCACTTGGTTTGTGGGTAGAAAGGCAGATTGTCTCAAAATTCACTCTTTGCAAGGGAACTTGAGAAAGATGAAGTAAGATGCACTTGGCAGTGTGCTCCAATTGCCTGCAGAGCTCTGTGTGGATGGGTAACTGGGAACTTCATTCCTGTGGAATGCAGAGTTCATTGAATGTCATGGGCTGTTCCATGGGTTCACCCACAATTGTTAAACATGAAGAAAACGGCAACTTTGATGAAGTACCAGATGTCTTTTACTGGGCCTGTTTTATTACAACTGAGTCACTGCGTGACTGTCTGCCACAGGGCAACGTAGAGGCTGGTAGGTTAGTGTAAGGGGGAGAGTTTATTTCTTTCCAGGACTGGGTGTAGCCACACTGTTACTGGGGGAGGGAAGGAGGAAATATAACTCTGCAGTGGCATAATCACGCTGTTACACGCTCAAGTAAACATGCTATGCCAGGCTCTGCTAAAACAGCCCCTTTTAACCCCGCTTTCCCCCAAGCACCTGATCCGTTGAGAGCATCAGGGAAACTGTGTTATATTTCACAAGTGGACTTGATTCTCTCTGTGCTTAGAGGCCTAAGAAAGTAACTACAATACCTACAGTTTATATTTACATTTAAAATAATCAGACTAACTTAAAAACAAACAAACAAAAAAGCCTTCTGGTCCTGATTTCAATGTTTGGAAGTCTTAGCACTTTCCTCCTGAGCGCTGTTCTTGTGCCAGTCAAGATCAGCATGCTGCTCTGTAGCAGGGACACCTTTTTTGACTCCTGGGTGTTTCCTCAGGCATATCCTCAGTCTGGGTACTAGTGTGACCAAATATGGCTTTACCTGGGGGCAGACCTGTGAGGAGAGGTGTAAAGACACCTTCCTTTCCACCCCCCGTGCCCCCTCAATGTAATCGAGGTAACATTGCCTGGGCAGATGTTTTCCTTCCAGGCTGTGTTACATGCTTCTTGCCATACAGTTTTCCCTTCGCCTTTCTGAGGCTCTGTGTGGTATGTATATGTGCACTGCAGAGATGTCTTTGAGCCTTACCAGAGTAAGATCTCTGGTTGCATCTCTGTGGCTCAGTGACCAGCCAGCAGTGGACCAGTTCAGGTGGCTGCATTGCTTGGAGGATGTTGGATGGACAGTATTTCTTTATTTCTCTGTGTTGCCTTGCATGGGTGTGTCGTCTTGTTACCTCTAGCTTGCAATCTCAAGACCATGCTTCCATCTGCAGAGCAGAGGCACCATTGGACCTGTTAACATTAAAGCACATGTACCTCTGCTCCTTTTGGCTCCAGAGAGCCCAAAAGCTGGAAATATGGCACCTGCTTGAAAATTTGAGAGGTAGGTAGTTCCCCTTGCAGTAAATGTGTGGGTAAAGAAACTTCCCTTAAAAGGACCAAGGGAAAAATGTTGGGGGAGATGTTTTTCATTTATTTGTTTACAAATACAGATTTTTTTTTTTTCAATGGCTGTTTTATATACAATTATTGAGCAACACATAGATCAAAGGCAGAATCACATTTATGTACAATTGTCTTTTTATTTTCATAGTGGTTTTTGAGCACTGATGTGTTTTCCTTAACTACTTAAGTTATTTAAAGCCGATTCTCACTCACAGTGGCCCTCCGTTAACCACAACTCTACCCAGCTGGTGTGGCCTGATAGCCCGCTGTCTGACAAGTCCCCAGGTTTATGATGTAAGTAGAATGACTCAATACTTCTGTGTTTTGTTTCTTATTTAATTTCAGCAAAGTGTTTTTTTTTTTTCCTTTTAGGCAGAAGGCTGGTATGATATACATACTGCAAGAAAGTGCTTGCTTGTCCTAGGCAGAAAAGATTTAAGATACTCTCCCCTCAGGCAACAGCTTCTCTTAGTGGAAATTGGAGATGATCTTATTGTTCAAATACTACATTTAAAAAAATAACATTTAAGGATATTGGAAAATTACAGGCATAGTCAATAAACCAGTTCAGTGAATCACTTCAAAATATTCATTCCCTCTCAACACTTTTGGACAAGATTCTTTTCCTGTTACTACTAAGGCTGTGTTGAGGTCTCCTTCAGAGAAGACACTGATGCATTTACCCATGCCGGAAGGAAATCTGGTACAGATTCCCTTCGTTGTTTCCACTGTGAAATTTGAGATCATATTACAGGAACTGTTAATCAGTTACTTATCTCAGTCTAGCAGGTCACTGTACTGTCTTTACAGCCATGTCTTGCAATAATTAATGCTTCATTCTCCTATTACTCTTGCAGGATCCTGATACATGTCATTCCTATCTGTACAGTGCTTCTGAAATCTACAACTTTTTATGAGCTGCTTGTAAATAAAACCATAGTACTGTGTGGCATCACTCAGATTTGCAGGTTCTCTGGAATGGTAACATCTCTGCTATGTTCAAGTAGTCTTGGATCAGATTTCTATTTATCTTTTCCTAGGGAGTTATGAATTCCACTTGCAACTTTGAAATACTTTCCTGCATTTCTTTCTGGTATCATTAGCATCTTTCTTTTACCTGAGAGTAAAATTCCAAAGAAATTTGAAATGTTTGCTGCCTATTTGGAGGTATTAGTAATGCAAGAAATTGGCCTTGTTCCCATCTTTGCAATGCCACTGGAGATCTTAAAACAGATCTAGGCTGGAAGGCATCCATCAGACCAATTAGCCTACTTGTGTCTTGCCCATGTGTCTATCTATGTATGATCTTATAAGATTAGTTATCCAGTAACTGAGGTTCTAACCAGAATGAACATGGAAGCTTTGGCTTTCATTTTCTCTAACAGTTGGGCCCTTTTTTAATTATTCTTTACTCCTCATTCTTAGCTACTACCGCATGTGGAAACTTATTCTTTAATTGGATTGGTTCTGTCACACCCCCCCACACACACACACTCACTCTCTGCCTCTTGGGATGTTACCTTCATCGTTAAAAATGCTTATAAGGCTGCATACTTTCTTAAGGTGTATAATGTGGAACTTTTACATTGTATTCTCTCTTCTTGTTCCTATTTCAGTGCATTGTTGCATTAGTCTTAGGAAAGAATATAATTTTGAGATTTTGTTTCTTTTCAAGATTTCCAAACTCTGCAGTTGCTTTATTGCTTTTCATTTCTTTGCATGACTGGCTTTGCTACAGTACTGTGACTATACCATTTTATTACTGGCTAAAAAGCTTGGAATCTTTTGCCTTCCTGTTAAGTGCAGGTGAAGCAACTGAGTGCCATGTCTTTGGGGGGACAGAAACTGCTTGGAATAGTTGTGCTTTTGTGAGGTATTTCCAGGAAAATGGAATGATACATCTGAGAGAATTAAAGACTGAAGACTTTGAATTAAACAAACAAAATGTCTGTAAGCACTCAACAGAATGTAACATAGCTGGAAAATGTGTTTCAAAAAGTAGTAAATCCTAGATCTCATTCAGGTGCATGTCTGAGCAGTTACAACATCTACATAGAGAAGAAGGAGAAGAAAGCATACAAGTATGTGGCTGTACTGACTGTATATTTGTGTATTGTTTTCAGCTTTTGTTGGGTTTTTTCCTCTGGCTGTATTGCAACATTATTTAGAATTCAGTTTCGCTTCTGTGAGTGGGAGTACATCTTTTTAGTTAGATGCCAACGGGGCGTTTTAAAGTCTGAAAGTCAGATAATCTTATTACGTAGTCCACCTACAACCTATTCCTAAGAATGAGATCGTGTCATCTAAACTCGAATTTACATGACGTACATGTAATGCTCTGAGTCAGCATGCAGGGGTGAGGTACAGTGCATTTTTTCCAGAGCTGCTGTTATTATTCCTTGCTGATGTTCTCCCACTGCTTTAGGACTGTGCCATTAGGCTCACCATTAAGTGTTTCCCACCCAAACAGAATCCAAGCTGCAACTTAAAAGCATAAAAGGCTGCTGTAGTTAGTGTTTAAAATAATCCTTTTCAAAAATTTACTCCTATTTTTCTCTTCTGGTGTTATCTTCAGTGCCTGACCATTTGGCAGGGCTTTCCAATTTATGCCAGGTCACCTTTTTTCTTCCCTTTTGACATGTCCTTTGAAACTTTTAGTAATTCTCTGTTTCATCAACCATTTATCCCATTTGGAAGAAGCATCTGCGTTATCACCTGATAAAACGAAACACTCCAGGGGGATTTTTTTTTTTTGCTTGTTTGTTCAGGGGTGTGTTTTCTGTCCTACACATGCTCCCACCTTTTTTTTTTTTATTTTGAAAGTTTAGTTCTTGCACCATACACAGTGTGACAACTTCATATGAAAGCAGAGGGAATTGAATTATTTTTCTAAATAAGCAAACCCAGTAAAGAAACTTCATTTGCAGTTTATATAAATCTTGGAGGAGGTAACTCTCAAAATAGTGAGAAAACTATTCAGCCATGCCTCTCCCCTCCCCTTTCTTATTGCTTCTAGCTTCATAGCAAAGATTGTTTAGTTTCCTTGAATTTGAACTCAGCTGAGAAATAAACTCTTAAGCAGAGCATCAGGTTTAAGCTGTAATGTATTTTGCATGCATACTACTTGATGCTTTTGTTTTGGAGCCACAAGATAAGTGACTTCTGGTGCAAGTTTTGTCATCCGTGATGCCTGTGTTGTATTCAGCCCCAGCAGCCTATGTGGTGACTATCAGCGCTTTGCACGTGTAAAGTACACCGCACATACTTCTTTTTGCACTGCCTTAGGAGGCAATAAAGACTGGCTTTGTAAGCAGTAACTCTAAATAAGCTTCAGCCATTTTAACATCTCCATCACACATTCTTAGGAGCATGAGCAGATTTTCCTACAAATGGGACAGAATGCCGTGAGGTCCCTCAGGGCTATGGTCAGCACGTCAAAGCAAAATTCAGTCTTTTGCAGGGTTTTGGATTGAAGTACTTAGCCATTCTAGTTTGTCAGTTTAAGTAGTGAAGTTCAGACCTATATTTTTTGAGTGAATTGCAGCTATTCCTACAGAACTGTAGGGGATTGCAGAGGCCAGTTTAGGGTTATTCTTGGAAGAATTTCAAGTCTCTAGGGATCTGCTTGGATACGTTTCCTGTCTTTCTTGAAAGAATTGTTAGTGCTGCATGAAGCACAGTAGGTTTATTCACCCATCCTCTTTGCTTGCAAACATAGTAAATCCGTGTACTACATGGGATTGTTCATGGATGTTCTCTGGGGAAATATATGAAATAAATTGCCTGCTGCTTGCAGTGCTGTTCAGAAGTGAAATAAATAAGTGGAACTTGGCTTGTACAAGTCAATGTTTGTTCACTATGTTGAGAGAAAGCTTAATGTTTTCTCTGGAACTGGTCGTGTTTACGTACATGTAAGCATAGCCTGGGACAAACCAGCAAAGACTGAGTTAAGACTTGCCATATAGTGTAAAGCCGGTGGCCCTCTCCTTTCAGCATCGTGCTTCCAAGAGCTTTTCAGCATTTTGGGGAAGCTCAAGTGTAGTGTATGTGTTCTTACTGGTTTCTTATCTGATAAGTGGCTGCAAGGATTCACTGTTAAATAGAATTGTGGAGACCCGAGATGCTTCGGGAGCTTGCTGCAGCCACTTCACACGTGGCCCTGCTATCGCAATACCTCCTGGTGCGCTGTTAGCCCTGCCCTCCCCTCCTTGGCGCTTCTCCAAGGGCGAACACCGTGAAAGGCAGCTTGCGATAGAGCTTCTCAGCTTCTTCGACTTCTTAAAACATAACCAGTCAACAGTCACAAACTGCCGTCTTCTTACTCGTTTTTCTGCTTTTCATCTTTATTTGAATGTCTCTTCTTCAAAACCAGAATATATAGGGATATCAGGTTTTCTTAAACAGCTGATTATTTTGTGTACCTTTTTTAATCATCATGTTCTTGTCCCTCAGACTTTCACTTTCTTGCAATGGAAAGCTTGTAAAGGCTGTTTCTGCCAACTATAGCTGAACCCTTTAATTTCTACCTTTTTACTTTTTAAGATAGTGACAGTAGTTGAGTGTTTTCTTTGCAATCGAAGAAAACAAGTGTCCTAAACTGTATTTGCTCTTTGAGAACGGTGCTGTCTATCACAGTAACCCTGTCTCTAATAAGCGATGATAAATTTGGATTCCATGAAGGTTCTGAGAAATTAGCATTCATTCTAAGTAGGGCTTGTCTTACACCCAACGCTGAACTGCACCACTATTTTTGTTGGTTTTGGGAAACTCCTGACACCTCTTCCAGGCCTCATTAGTTAAATATTCTGTATCATCTAGAGGCTTCTGCTGCTTTATTTTGGCTGATTATCGTTCTGAAATAATGACAGGAAGCTTTCCTAGGAAGTTTTATTTAGCCAGGCACTGCATTTTTCATCATGGACAGGTTAATCAGCATTTTCAATCTCAAGTGCCCTGAGCTCCTGTTCTGCAATACAGGTAGGGCTTTCTGGTCAGGCTGATCACAGGCATCCTATCTCACGTAGCTTGTGCCCTCCTTCCTTTGACGAAGTGGACGAAAATGATGTATTTTGAGAATGTAGCCTGATCGGTGTCCAGCCTACTGAGGGGAACAGCAATACACTTACATTTCGGCTCTTGTTAAGCAGTATGGAGCTACTCGCATGGGGAAATAATTGCTTTCAGTTGCAAGAAAGCAAGCTTATAGTACTGATAGGATTTCTTCAAATATGAGGAAGCCCTATTTTCTGACCAATTCAGCTGTTTTGCCTTTTATCAAGACGGTGTTAAACAGGAGTGAAACGATTGCTTCCTGTTGTATTATGCTGTGTAGAGAAATTGTTTTGTTACACTTTAGCAATTCCTAGTCTCTGACCGTTTATTTCATCCCATCTCTGCCAAAATAAATTAACAGGGTTTCATAAGCCACTTTCTTGAATGATTTTTTGGAAAGAAAACATATCAGAACTAGTTACAAAACTATGAAGCAAGCACTTTCTTGTATCGTCTTTCGTACTTTTATGGCTCAGGAGCGTTCCTAAGAACTAGGTCAAGTAATTCTCTATTTAGTACCAGGTAAGAGTAAGCAGATAGTTTAAGAGTGTGGCTAGTTTTCGATCAATAACAAAAATTTGTTGAGGAAACCTTGAGTATAAAGAATTTGGGCCTGATGAGTTCTTACCAGTTTGCATGAGTCTTTTACTATTGAACTTGACTAATTAGCAACAGATGCAACTCTGACTTTGTATCTGGAGTGACTTAATTGTGCTCGTTCTCCAGTCTTTCCTGTACTGCCTTCTAAATTGTCATGCAAAAAAGTGTATACTGCTCATCTCATGTACTTCTGGTAAACTTCCAGTGCAATTAAATCCCTAGTTACGTGTTTCATAATCTAGTTCTTGGATTCAGCTCCTGCTCATCTCTCCACACTAGCAGTAGTTATACAGGAAGCAGTAAGGTGATTTGCAAACACTGGGTGCAAGATTATTTTTAGCATTTCTTGAGGTTCGAACTTTACCGCTTACTGCTTCTGTATTGACACATAGGTAAACTCTTCTGTTCAGTTACCTTCTTGGCAAAGACCAGATGTTGTCCAGTGTACAAAGATTTTTCTTCTTTTTTTTTTTTTTCCCCCCAGAATCAAGAACAGCTTAGAGAAGAGGATTCTGATTTTATTCTGAATGATGGTGACCTTACTGTGACGTATGGTGATACAACAATAACTGCAAATGGTTCTTCTGGCCCCCATACAGCTACTACTAGCCTTGATGGCAGGAGAACAAAAAGTAGTTCAGAGGAAGCACTAGAACGTGATTTGGGAGCAGCAGATCATGAAGTTACAAGCAGGGGTACCCGGCTAGTATTTCCTCTGGAAGACAATGCATGATCACTGACTCAGTAAAAATGACTCTTGCTCTGTGGATGGATCAAGGAAGACTGCAGGCCACTGTGTCACTTGAGGTGGGGATGTTTTATTGAAACAAGTTAACATGCGTAAGTGGTTTTACTAGGGCCTGAAGATGTCGCCTCTTTTTTACTCAAGATGCTGACGGTGGGGTTTTCTAAATGTCTGAAAATAGACGAATGAGAACTTGTCATTCTCCTCTTTTCAACTGCATATTGAATCCAAGTATAACTAGCATGCTGCAATTGTCTTGTTCAGCTGCAGCAGCTCTCTCTGAAGAGAAGTATATGAAAACATTGTCATGGAACTGAGCTTGTCTTGGCTTAGCTTGGGAATGAGGAAAAAGAGATTTAAACATGATGATAATTATGAGATGAAAAAAGGATGCGTGTGTCTGAATGTGGAGAGATCCATTGTTAACTTCTCTTGTGAGGCTGAGGAAACTATAAAGTAAACGGGTCAGTATACATTAGGACTACAGGTGCATGAATGCAAGACTCTGTGGAGAATCTGTTACTGCAAGCTGTACTTAATGTATTTCAGGGGAAAAAAGGGAAAAGAGGATTTCTTCACTGGCCATGTGTTTAAATAGGAAGGCAATGAGAGCTACTTGTCCCTTTAGCTTTGGGCAACTTGACTATTACTATTAGCCTAACTTCTAGTGCCTCAAAAGAAAAACATCCAGCTTCCTGTGGTCTAAGATGTACCTGACCCAACACAAGCCTGGAGCCAGGCTCTCTTGGGTGGAAGTCATGAAGTAAAACTTTCTCTCCCTTAAGGTTCCTAAAACTGGATGAAGATAGTTGGAAATGTATCTTGTTGGGCTGGGGAAAACAGCAGATAGGAGGAGGAGGTGGAAGAGAGAGAGAGAGGCAGTATTGAACTTGCATGGAACCATGAGGTTTCATATTGCTCAGAAGAATCCATGGACTCTGCTTACAGTTCTTGTGTGTGATAAACAGCAAACATCTAATTAAACAGACAAACAAATACTACTGGCTTTACCATTTGTGACTCTCCTAAAAGAAAGGTGTTTACTCTTGTTCTCTTTCGCAGAGTAGATGTGAAACTTCAGTGGGACATTGCACAACAACATATAAGCTACAGAAGCGATGAACTGTATATCATCATAAATGTGAAAAGGGAAAAATCTTTGCCTAGTCTTTAGCCCACTTACACGTAGGCTAGCTTTAACTTATTGCTAAATGCTTTTTAATTTCCAAATGAGGAGATATCATTGTCTTTGCCAATAGCTGAAAACTTATGCTTCGAAGAGCAGTTCAGCTATTTAAAGCATGCTAAAATGTGTTTTCATTCTCATGTCTCAAAAGGTTTATTTTTTTAAGAGTTCTGTGGCCCACTAATGTGATGTAATATCAGTTTGTCTAAAACGTGTGTTTTTCTTGCTGCCATTTCAGTTGTTCCTCTCATAAAACTGTGTGAGTAAATACCCACTCTGTTTTTCCTTAACTATTAAACTTAACAGGCTAACTTTGGTACGAGAACTTACTGCTGCAGAGAAACATTGCAGTCATATTGTCTAGTCTGCTTTCTTTCAGATGTGTTCTCTAATGAGTGATCTACCTCCTTGTCTGTCCCTCCAAGGTAAATTTGTAAAGGGCATTGATCTGTAATGACTGTCTGACATTATTAAGAAAAGAGACACGAGGAAAGCAGAAGCTTTTTTTGTGGAAAAACTGGAAGAGCAATACAGTCTGAGCTCTGTTCTTAAATGGTGAAGAGTAACAAACCCTGAGGAAGATCTGAGCAGAACAACTCCCTTTCAGTTCTCCTCTGCTTTCAAGGAAGACAAAGCAGATAAATAGCAATGATCCATGCTATTTATACTGTCTACATGGCTTGTTTTTTCTTTTTTTTTTAAGTGCTCTGGCAGTAGAAAAAGTAGTTTCCTCCTAAATTACAAAAATAATTGCATTCATTTTGGACAAGTCTTGGGACCCATGCTGTCAACACTGAGTGAGGACTTGAAACTTCTACAACAATTCGAGTTATTAGCTGAGTCGTATGAAACAAATTTTGGGTTGAGACAGTGAAACTTACCCAAAATAAATGGACTTAATACAGTGAGGCAAATCTTTACGTGCAGCTTGAAGCTGAAGCTTACCAAATCACTTTGGCTGACAAACAGAGCCTTGTGCAGAGAGATCTGTTCTTTGGAAGAAAGATCAGGTACAGATTCTGGAAGTAGAAATTCTGTTTCATTAGCTTCCTCAGGAAGACTGAATCTCTTGAAAGCATCAATAAACCATTCCAGTGCAGATGCTTCTCTGTCTGTGTTTTTAATTCCCATAGCAAAAATATACAATTGAATGAAGTTCACCAGTAAGCTCAAAATGTCGTTGTGAAAGAGCAGCCAAATTAGATGGATCATTGGTGAGAGGTGAGGAATATAATAGTCTAACTTCACATTCAAAAATTACTTCAAACGCTTATCCAGCATGGTGAGGAGAGGCCCATATACACAAGCTTAATTTTTATTCATACGTTACAACAATGAATTTTATTCCTTATTTTTATCTATTTTTCATTTTAAGTCTTCTTCCAAAATTGGACTTCACTGCCAACAAAAGGTAAGCTAAAACATCTAGCCTTTTCTTACTACTGACACTGATCCTTGTACCAAATTCTCAAGGGACTCCTTTACTGAAAAAGTGGGAAAAACAAACAAACCCTCGTTGTCCTGAAACACTGGGTATTTTACCAACTCTCTAATAGATCCTTTTTTCTCATGTATATCCTTTTGAAAGAATAGTTTAATACTTTCAGTTCCTTTCCAGTAAGATCCTGAGCTGGAAAGAACTTGACCAAACCATACCAGCAGATGCATATTTTCTTATAAACCTGGTGTGAGGTTTTGAATAGAAAACACAGCTTATGATTGTAATGAACAGCAATAGATACCTATGAATATTCTCTTCAAATTGAAAAAGAAAACCTGTAAGATGATGGTCTTCACTGAGAAAAGCATTGCCACAGTAGCACAGGACGTTGCAGTTTATGTGGCTGCCCTTGTACTTGGGACCGAGTGATTTCTCCTTGTAGTATTTTGCTTGCTGCATTGTCAACTTACTGCTGAAAGTCTTCACCTGAAGTTGCCAAGGAATCTGCTTACTTCAGTCCCTGGAGAAGGGCAAAATGAAGTCCCTAATCTTATTTCAGTGCTTCATATAAGCTAATACTGACAGTAAGGCAAGACTGTTCTGTGGGTGCTTGAATTCCCATGCAAACAAATCTTTCTGATTTACTTATGTTAACGACCACGGTGATCCACAAGGACTTCACTACCATCATTTTTAAACAGACTAAAAAGCTATTGAAACCTTTCTGTGTATTCATCTACAATGTTAGAAATATTTTCATTCACAGAATTTGGAAGAACACAAAAAATATCTAGAAAACTGCCATTTTTGTGCTTTGCTGCTAGTTAATTCAGTGTGTGTGAGAGATGATCATGTTTTGAGTCACCTGTACAACACTGCGCCTGTTTTGTGCAAAAGAGCACATTCTCTCCACTTCCACGGGGCTCCAGGCAGTTTATCGGTTGAATAGCTGCGGTCAGAGCCCGTGACTGCTGAGAGCAGCGCCACAGCAGCCTCGCTGCAAGCACGGGCACGACGCTGGATTTTTCAGGGCGCTTCTTGCGAGAGGTGTTGCAAGCGCTGCTTACGCTGGCTTCAGCAGTAGCTCTGATACTCTCATCTCAAGTTATCAGAGAGGAGGAACGCTATGACAAGTGTGTTTATGTTGTACGTTACGTATCTGCTATGCAGAGGAAGGGTATGGAGTAAGCTGCCTTTTCTGATAAAGGCTGAACAAGGGTAAAGTATCACATAGTTGGTACTTGACCAAGTCAAGCCCTGTTCCAAGGATGCAAGTTTTTCAGCCTACGAAAAGACCAAAAATATTATTTATTTAGTTTTTGCACTGCAGGAATTGCCTTTGGGGAAAGGACTGCAGAAATTTTAACTGGAGGGGGGAAAAAAAAAAAATCTAAGCGTTCTTGGCCAAACTTCCAAAGAGCTGATCTGAAGCAAGTACACAGCAAAGGTTAAAATTATGTCTACTCCTAATATGATAGCTACTATGTTTTACTCCTGAGGGGAGGGAAAGACCTCATAGTACGAAGTCTAGCAACCTTAACAGGTAGCATGAGCAGCTTATAATAACTAGGAGGCCAGATCCTGTGATTTTAATCTTTATAATCAGTGAGACAGTTTGTAGCTTGGCATGGAAAGCATGGTCCTTCTTGTATTAGTTCATTTTAACTTGAATTGCAGTCTCTCTTCAGACAGTGTTGGTCAGAGGAGCTTCTTTGAGTCTAATTTGTAACGGTAAAACCCTGGAAACGAACATGCTTCACATGCTTTTTGAAGAAAGGTTCAGTGTTTCTTTTCAGTCTGTTTGAAGTAGCTCACGGGAATAACATGCTTGACCTCAGCCTTGGCAGAGATGGTCTCTGCCTCTGCACAAGGGTGGGAATGGAATTTGAGTAACCAGAAGCCTCAACTTCATGTGCTTTTCTTTAAGATGCGGGTGAGGGGAGGGCCTTTTTCGGGGAGAAACCAGAGAACTTACAGATGCATCAGCAGGGAGTATTCCTCTCCAAAATACTGAACTCATGACCCACTGAAACTTAGAAGCAAGGGGGAATAAACCATGACCGGGAGGCAGAGACCATCCAGCAGGAAAGCAGGCTCTGCGTAGTCAGTCTGGGGTATATATTATGTCAGTCGTAATCAGAGCCACAGAAAGTAGGACAGAGCTGCTTAGTGGCATGAACACATTCCTAAGAGAAAAACATGTAGAATAACAATTTCAAATGTCCCGATATTGAAAAACCTTCTTTGTACGAAGCTGCTCATGCAAACCTTATTTGCAGTGCAGGAGGAGGGTCTCGTTTCCCCTCTTTGGGGAGGAGACTTTAATATTGTGCAATGAGAAACCACAGACGCTTCTTGGCC